GCCCTTTGTGCCCCCCCCCCCCGCCATCTTTCCCTAACGACACAGCACACTTCCTACTAGTGAGTGAGTCTATGGTTCTCAAGCACCCAATGAAAGTTTACCCGATTTAAAGCTGGGGTTATGTCAGGGCGACTCATGCAGGAAGGATGTGGCTGTTACAGGAGGCAGCTACAGCAGAGCACACAACAGAAGGGGCATGGCTGAGGGGGAATGTTTGTTCTCTTTGACCATGTCCTTCATCTACTTGTCCCCTCTTCCTGTTGGAGAGCAGCTCCTAAATTAACAACTGTCCCTGTTCCCCAGAACAGCAACTCCATTAAGCTCCTTAAGTTTCTAGAAACATCCTTTGTCAGCTCCAGGCTGTTGCCTATCCCTATCCATGCCACTTCCCAGGAGTCAGCTCCATTCACCCTGGGCTCTGCAGGGTCAGGGTTGGTCTGTCCCACCAGGAGCCTGTTCCAGATCTTGCCCACTACTGACAAAACGGATGTTTCCTTTCAAAAGCTTTAATACCAAATACTGCTCCAGAGCAACAGAATTGATGTGAGTGTTCCCAGCTAGGCACTGAGGATAGATATGGCATTACCTCCAGGACAAGCTTTTATTCCTAAGGGTCTTTCTTGCTTTTTCTCCCTGATTCCATGCAGAGAGAGCCCTGGGAGCAGACCTCACCTGACAGTCTCAGCCAGTCGGATGGTACATGCTTAGACCCTCTGCAAGCACTGCCTGCCAGTGCCAGCTGCCTCTCCTCACACGAGTCTGGAGGTATTTCCCCATACCGAAGCTCAGGTTGGACCCCGGCCATCCCTGGAGCCCAGCCCTACCCTCTGCATCCTCTTGAAGATGTTCACTACTCCCCCAGCTATGCTGCCACCTCACCCTACTCCTTCTCACCATTCATGACTGTGGCAAATGAGCTTACCTCCAGGATGAGCCACCTCTCCACGGAGGAGTCCTCAGAGACACCGCCCCTGCACGATAACTCTGCCTGGGCAAAAGATGATGGAAGTCCCATCTGGGGGACTTATGAAGGCCGGAGAACTTACTGATGAGAGATAAGAGCTGGAGAAAAAGAAGAATGGACCATTATTGAAGCAAACTAATTATTTGTGTGTTTTTTCCTAAAGCTGGTCCTTTAAACAGAGGATGCTAACAACATGCAATGCTTTATGCTCTGTTTAGAAATATAATCACTTGGATGCACCACATTTAGCTTATAGTGGTGCCTTCTAGTGCCTTATGAAAGTCATTGCTCACAATCCTGCTGTGTAACAAGTAAAATTCACAGCCTGAAAAGTATCTGCACAAACAAAGGTCTCTGGTAATTCTTTTCAGATGCTGGGAAAAGATGTTGCTCTGACTCTTTAACTACACCTTACAGACCATTACCAGAACATATTTAGGAAGGTTGAGGAGCAAGGCAGGGGATGGCGGAAGGCCTCCTTAATAGCACAGTCTGTGTAATGGTAGCTTGTTACCTAGCAGCATAAATACATGTTCCTAACTCTAGCATGCTATGAACAATGACATTGTCTTGAGCAACAGTTATGGCCAGAGAAGCAAAGGCATTACACATTAGAGCCTATAGCACAGGAGGCTACAATCAAATAAAACTCACCAGGGTGTTGGCAGCGACCACCATCCTGCCCGATGCTCTGTGCACGAGGAAGCCTTACCTGTAATGCACAAAACACATCCTACCCAATTTTCTTTTTGCCCTGAAGAAAACGCAGAGCTATTCCTCCAGAGAAATACAATGCCTTGTTTCAGTGGGCACAAGGCAGAATGCTCCCAGCCCCTTGCCAAGAGGTACTCACCTGGCCCTAGAACTGAGAACAAGGCTGATTTAAGGTCCCAGTGCCATGCCGGGGCCCACGGCCACTAGAGGTAGCTCTGCACCCACAAACACACAGCGGAGTCCTGTGCAACCTCGCCTATGCAGCCAGTCCCGCCTGCTGCATCCAAACCCGGTGGAGGTTACCTGCTCTGCCCCACCTCGCCCCCCCGCCTGGCACCCACAGAAGCGGCAAGAAATTCTTGCTGAGGAAGAACAGGAGCTTTACAGGGCCTGAAATTGTGTAGTGGTGAGAAGCTTTACAGCCTTCCTTGCCTTTTCTTCTCAAATCCTGAGGCTGATGGGGCATTTGGAGCCTTCTCCACACAATCCAGGGATTATAAACAGCACTGGGGCCTCAGGATCGGGCCCACAGTATCACTTCATGCCATGGTGCCTACAAGCACCTCTCTGTGTGGGAATGTGGACTAGGGACACAGCACTGCACCTAGAAACAGGCTGCAATATTGGGTCCCTGTAAGCATCACTGCAGAGAGCTGCCAAGCAGCCAGGCCAGTCCTCTGCACAAAGCCCTTTCCTATACAGGCATACCACATAGCACCATCCGCGGCACCCCTCCTCCTGCAGCACAGGAATGTCCTTACACCCTAGTGCACATACAGCAACCATACAAGCCCCTTGATGAGCCCACACCTGGCAAACAACACATCCCTGGCTGTTCAGGCACCCGCAAAACCCCCAGGGTACGTTTTGGCATCAAAGGATGGAAGGACCATTCCCAAGGATCTCGGCAGCTGCCCCAAAAGGGAAAACACTGCCCTGGCACAGACCTCTCACCCTGGCCCCTCGCAGTGTAGCTAAGAAGCAGCTGCAAGAGCAGCCTGGCCGGACCCATTTACACCTTCAGGGGCCCAGCACAGCCCCTGCCTCTACCCATGGGGGCCTGCAGCTCGCAGCAGAAGGGCTCTTCCCATCTCGGGAAGGGGCACATGGCTGGCCAGGAGTGCCCGGCTCTGGTCCTGGCTGGACTGGGGTCCCTCGCAACGCTTCCTGATTCCCCAGCCTTGTTCAGACCTGCTCAAAAAAGCAAACTCCAGCAGCTCTCTGTGCCTCAAATCTCACCTCCGCCTATCCCCACAGGCTGCGTCCTTCTGTTTGCTAGTGGAGTCCTGGGGAGACATGGAAAGCTCCGCCCCGGGAAAGAGCCAGCAACCAGGACTCCTCCACGCACACTGCTAAGCATGGGACAAAGCGAGTCCAGCTGCCTCCCCATGCTTGGACCATGGGCACCACAGGATCCCACGAGTGGCCAACACGGAGCATCCTGGGGTGGCATCTGCTTAGCCAGAGCTGCTCCCTTGACCATGGGCCAGGGAAAGGCAAGGAGCCCCAGAGCATCTCAGGTATGTGCAGGTCTCCTTGTCCAGCACCCAGCCCCTGTAACCCCAAACCTGAGACCTGCATGAGCCCACAGCATTGTTCCACACCACAAGTGACACCACCACCAAGCTGAATCACTGTCTGTAGCTGCTGCTTAACAAAGTGGCAAATCTCAGCTTTACCTTCTTCAAGGGCCTTGGACAGGGACACCAGTGTCAGTGTGGCTGTATTTCCACCAGGCTCTGATAGAGAAGCAGGGACAGAAAGTTTTTGAGCTGTCCTGGAATTGTTAGACCCACTCTGGCATTCAAGTCTTCACCAGCTCTGTGAGCCTGGAAAAGCTCTGAGACCCAGAACATGCAGCAACACCCCAAACACGGGTGCTTCATGTTCCCTTAAGGCACGCAGCGCAGCCAGGACTGGAGCTGAGCAACCTGTGCTCTCTGCTCTGTGGTCTCTGGTTACAGAAGTAAACATTACCCTGGCTCCTGGGAGTGCCTGCTCCCCCCACACCACCAAGCTCTACCCTCCCACCACCTGCTTCAGTGGGAAGCAGCCCCAGCAACTCGAGGGCTTCAGGTCCCAGACCTCCTTAGCACAGGCAGGCCTGTGTACTCCTCTGTGACCCCCACGCTCCATTCTGCTGCTATCACAGGTAGGAAGAGAGGGCTCCTATCCAGAGTCATCTTTGGAAAACATCCCTACAAAACCACTCCAAGCAAGGATCTTCAGACCCACATTTCAGCACAAGCAATAGCATCACAGCTGTGACCACTCCCCAAAGAAATCAAGTGTATTTGTTCAATTAAAGGAAAAGATTCAGCTGCAACAATAGCCAAACTGCACTGGTAGTCGATTATTAACAGTCTGGCCTGCTTTCTGCTGCAGCCAGTTATTCCCAGGCATAGCAGAGACTGTGGTGCCCAGGGAGAAGTTTAAACCTAAAAATCCCAGCTACATCAGTACTGTATAGTGATGAAGGTTTATCCAGAAACTGTCATCCTACCACACACTGAAACCTCATCACTTAGAGCATACAGGGCAGGCCAGCACTGCAGCATGTAAGAAGAGGGGGGGTAATTTGTGCAAAGAGAGCAAACAGTCTGAATTAGGGGAAAATGCAAATAAACTCCAATATAAGCCCAGCATCTGAGCAGACGGAAGGGAGTGCTGTGGAAAGAAGTGGGGTTTAGGTAGCTTCAGCTACCTGGGTGTCACGCCACATCTGCACACTGCCTTTTGGGCCCCAAAACCTTAGTATTTAGTCTTAAAATGTGAAAAACATGCAGAAAGCAGCTCAGCCACTTGCAGAGTCCTCTCTGCAGGTAGCAAATGAAATATGAGAGGGCTGGAGCCCAGCCTGTGCATCTGAGGGAAAAATACTGAGCCAGTTTTGAGGCATCTGCTTCGTTTGGGGAAAGATGGTTAAAACCCTGCAAATGTCCCAAAAGCAAAAAGGTGGGGAGGGTGGCCCTACCAAATCTTATTCCCTCAGACCCCCTGCTAGATGGGGATGTGCTCAGTTTCACAAAAAGATAGCCCATTTTGTGGAGCCTTTGAATATTCAAATTGAAAGTATCGCGCAATCATTGATTGTCAAATCATTGGTTTCTAGAGGTTTTAAATACTTGGCATTAGGAAAGAAAAACTCAAACTTATACCCGTAGGGATAAAACAATAATATTGTCGGGATCCACCTGTCATTGCTACCAGGCAAGCAGGTCCCTTCGCCCCCAAATTTTAAGCCTGTCTCCTCTTACCCCCTTCACCTGCTCTGGGGCTGGGGCCGGGGCCAGGGCCACCACTGCTGCTGCACCAGGCGCCCGGCGAGGTGCTGCCCACTCCTGCTCAGGATGTCCGGTAAGCCCGGCTGCACCTCCCCGCTATATCCCCTCGCCACCCTATTTTGGGGCTGTTTCGGGGTTCGCCGGGGTCACTTC